TAGCATTTTCTTTGAATGAAGTTATAAATTGTGTTTGGAACTGGGTGTCACTGAAATACAGGATGTATACATGATTGTCTATTGGACTCAACTGAATATTCTTTCCTTATTTTTTTAATGTTTTTTATTTCCCCAATTATTTCCTTAAATATTAGACGGTTAGTTATCTATACATGTTAGGCTACAGACTTACGGTGGACAACTTACAATTTAACAGATATCGAGTATAAGGATTTTCTATTTTTCATATTTATCAATTCTGAACAGATAACTCGGTATTGGTTATGGTGGTTAGCAGTAGAATTTCGAGATTACTGTCTCATCTTATTGATAATTCTACAATCTTCAGCTGGATATGTCAAAAGTTTCCATCTTATTTTATTTTCTCTATTCTTTATTAAAGCATTGAATCTTAGTTTTGAGGTTTATTTACTTTACAAATGTCAGAAGTTGTATACTTCTTAAATCAATCACTAACTACATGTCCATTTAGAGTATAATCCACGACGGATAAATGAAAGTCTATTTGTGACTGAAAATTATTTTTAATTTCTTGCGAAATAATTCTTTCAATAAGCGGTTGATGAATTTTATTCTAGTTAAAGTCAGATTATATCATGAAATAACATTAATTGAGGGACCTTGGAAAACTGTAGAGAAGGCTCGATAAATGCCTTTTCTTGGTTTAAAATTTTTTAACAGTCTGCACCGGTTGTACACAGATTCAACTCCATGATTTTAAGTTTTCGATTTGGCTACGGAACTTGAAGCTTGTCGGTGTAAATCACTCTTAGTTGATCTGAATGTCTTCACAACTTAATTTCTGTTGTAGTCCTGATTCATTAATACTCAATTTTGTATTAATCCTTAGGTAAAAGTTATCGTTAATAAACTAAACCGATAACTTATTCATGACAATCGAATTGCTTTGACTTATTCAATTTCAGCATAACTAAGTGCATGTTTTTTCTACATCATATCAGATAAAAGACAAAAAAATTCTAAATGATTGTTTAATACAATTATGGCTGAATGACAAGACGATATTTGAAAGCATGAAGTAAACAACAAGGAACAAAGATAGAAATACAGTTGACCATCTAGAGTTGCAAATGCTTATCGAAAAAATTGATTTAATTATGTTGACACACATAATTTGATTAATATGTGAGATTTTTTCCAGACAAATATACTATTAGCTTGTAGTTATTGAGTTTTGTATCAGGGTAGTGTACAACTTTGGTTTTGTATTCGATCCTATGTTTCAAAATGAAGCGACTAACTAGTATATAGTTTCATAAATGTACACATTTAGTAATAAGCAAAATAGTTTTTTTGTTGAATTCAAAGCAATCAATGTGAATGTCTTGTGGTATACTTCAAAGAGAAAATATCGACTGTTTTCTGTCAGCACTTTTTAAAGTATCGATCAGTAAAGTACCATCTAATATCAACCTGTGAAGTAACCTCACTATCCTAAAATAAGAAAACACCAGTTACTTCTAGCTTTAAGCATCAACTTCCAAAAATTATTCTTTATCTAATAAGTTTTAAACATCGATCGACTCACTGAGTCATGTTTATTCAGTCACTTTTAGGTCTAGTCGAATTCTATCGATTGACTGACCACCAGTTAAGGTGATTTTACATCGCATACATTATGTTTTGATTTTAAGAAGTGGGAGGTAGTCAGCTGAAAATCCTGAAGTTAGGTTTTGTACTAATTGACACCTGCCTAGCATAACATACCTTCAATTTTAAACCAACTAATGCTTCCTGGTTGATTCATACCTGGATCATCCTCGACATCTTAGTTTTAGGTATATTCTTGAGTGCATTATAGAGAAAGCAGTTGGAAACTTTTCAGTTTCAACCTTTTTTTCCATAGACTTATTTATTTGATGATAATACTGATTGACAATTTACAATGTAATTAAATGAAATAGTTTTCCAATATTCTCGTTTTTTCACCAGTTTACTGGTGTTGGTTTTATTTTTGAATTTTTTATATACCATTAGTATTGTTCAATTATGTCTTGGTTTATGTACCTGTTAGTGTATGTGTAATGAAAGAGAACTTGGATGGGGATAACGAATTTATTGTTTAACACAAAATTACAGAGCTCTTTCGTAAACTGTGAAAACCACTCATCAATTACTTCATTTGCAAACCCTCCACCAATTGTCTCAAACTTCTTTATTCCTTCATTGATATTACAACTACTCTCTGTTCCGTTCTCTTCTCTTCGATTTCCTAAACATCCTGCTGCCATTCACTTCTGATTTGTCTGTCAACATAAGTAGCGTACACTAAATATGTTCTATCGTTCAATTGTATTAGGTTATATATGATTAAAAAGCAATTCATGAAAGATATTTCTATATAGACAATTTCACTCTGGTAATTATGTGCAAATGTTTTGGAGAAAGTGGTAATCTAGAATAATGTTTATTTATCTTCGAAATGACAAGTGTTTTGAAAAAAAATTTTAAATAGAAAACAGTTATTTGTGATTTATTTTTTCAATTTGAACTATTAGTAAGGAGTACGCGGGTTCTAAGTTGTCTAGTCAACTTGCAAACACTTTTGACTATGTGTAATCTTACCAATTTGATTATGTTTTTAGTCAGAGAGTTGCATTAAGCAACCAATATTTCGTTATGTCTTTGTATTTCAGTGTTGTACATAAGAAGAAAAGTTTCTTGAAAATGAAAATTAATATCGGAATTTATGTATTTTTACAACTATACAAATGGATGGAATACCAGAGTGAAGTGAATAAATCTTTTAAAAAAAAGTACTGAGAAATGAAGCAAAGAAAAATTATCCAATTAAGTATTGAAAATTAATCTCATTAGAATAGTACAAGATTTAGAATTGTATCCTTTTTAAATCGAACTTGTACATTTAGAAAGATACAATTGTGTCAATCTCGTATACACTATCCTAGTAACTTAAATTTTCATTTCTTTTTCTTAATATAGTTGTTATTACGTAACCTCTGACATCAATTTTCATTTTCCTAGAGATGATAAAAACATAAATATTTAATCATTACAAAATTTAACCATAAAATGATTCTTTCATGTTTATTACTATGATTTCATTGATTTTCAGTAGTATAATATTCGTTTTAAATCATTATTACATTTCTTTATATGTTATAAAGAAGCAGAAATAGATGAATCTATATCATTCTACCATATTTGTTATTGTTCTTACTACTTTAGTAATACATTTATTAGTTTTAAAAATATAAATAAACATTAAAGTCAATTAATTCTGGCTAAAATCTAGAGTTTAGTGTAATAGCTTAACTAGTATAATTGAATACTATACAGATTCTCTGTATAAATTAGATACATACATTTTGAGTTGATAGATAGATAGATAGATCGATTGTTGTTAATGAACTTGTAATACATCACTAGTAACTTGAATACTATTCTCATTGGAGATGGTGAAGATTTGTAGCTCAGGTAAATGATTTTGATGAAGTTTTATTCTCTTAGCTTAGAGAACAAAACTCAGAAAGTTAAATTTTCATAGATTATTCCATCTTTGTAATTGATTAGCTGGGATTAATAATAAGATTATTATATTCTTGAATAGTTAGTATAGATTTCTTTTTAATTTAGATAAATACTGATGAAATAATTAATTAATGCATATCACTTCGTGTATATAGTTGATACTCTGGTCGTTTTATTAACGTCACTTACATTATTTTACATAAATTTACATAATGCTGTTGACAAGAGTTATATGTTTATTTATTTATTTCCGAATTGTATCAATACATATTATACAATAATATTAAATTGTTGACTAGATTAAGTTTGAGTAGAATAAATTACTTCAAGAATTTTCACAATTGTATTTCATTACTCTAAACCATAAAAGTTTTATAAACAGAGATTAATGATGGTTAGTATTGGAATGCAGGATACTCGTCTCATCTTATTTGAGACTCGTCAGCTGGGATGTATCTGCATCCTAGAGTAGATGTTCAGTCTGAGATTCGAAACAAGTACCGTCCATTCCAAATGTTGTCTTGTTATCCACTTAGCTACTGAGTCCAGGTAGCCACTGGTTTATACAATGAGGTGAATTTAAATTCATTTCTATCGATTGTTTGGATTTCCCCATTGATGTTGGAGACTACAATTGAATCTCAGAGTAAAAATCAACTTCAGGATGTAAGTATATACGTCTGACGAGTCTCATATATATATATAAGGTTCAAGCAACTAGAAGCATCAGGTGTCTTACATCGTTGTAGGCATCTGAGTAGTATCGCTCGCTACCTTTCAAACAACTAAAAACCTAGTTAAATTAGAAGTAAACGAACCAAAATTGATTACTCGGTTACATTAAGTTAAACTAAACTGGTTAGCGCAGCATTTTATTGCATTTCCTTCTTTTGGATTCTTGACATTCAAATTTTTTTGTCTTAAGTCCTTTAATATTAAAGCGGAAATTCATTGTTTACCATTCAATTATTGGGGACAGAGCGTACTGTTTATGTTCAAGAAAACGACCAGATGATGAGTGAGTCCGCTGAAGGTATTGTTAACTATGAGCTAGACTAAAGCATTTAACGCAGAAAACACAACACATTCAACAAGATTATTCTTTTTGTTTTCGAACTGTAACCTATCTGCCATGTAAAGGTGTTTATGTATTCGATATTTTACAAAGCTATTTGTATAAAGACTAGTTACACTACTTTACTACCACAAACTAAAATGAATAAAACTGGGTTTAAACCTTCGGTTGTTTGTAAGTTAAACGCTTAAACCACTAAGCCTTTTATTCGCCACATTATATTAGTCTGTCGAATTGAATTCATAGGTACCTTATCATTCAATACAAGACACACTTCTATTTGTTTTAATTACTACATAGAATAGGGTTTTCAAATCTTTAATCTGTTTTCTTGTATTATTGTTTCTTCATTTTTGTTTATCTAGGAGTCTAAATATATTGTCATATCATAATGAGTTTTCAACCAGCATCATCGTCGTCATCATCACCATATTATTCATCAGATGTATCAAATTCGAATTATTTAACTCATACTAACACTGATTTAAGCGATAATCATGTTGATAGAGAATATTTTCAGCAAAAAATTTATTATTATTTGAATGAATTACGTAATTTTGTTCAACAAGCTCCTTTGTAAGTTTCATTTTCTGGTGTCCACTCTTTAGTTTTATGAACAAAAACCCTTTGGAATTTCAAATGTTACACAAGTTAATACAATTTTAAATAAAGATTAAAGTATAAAATAATACCTGATTAATTTCATCATGTCCTGGATTCATCAGTACTATACACTTGCGATAGAGTATGACTTTTCTCTATTTTTTGTTCCTTTTTGTGTAAGATATTGTAGGGGCTGGTACTAAGTCAAGCCCACATAAGTTGTTCTAGCCTCTGGACAGACCAATCTATTCATTCTTCTCAAGCCACATTTTTACCCTATCACTTATTCGCTTATTAATCCTGACCGTTTTTTATACGATTGTATGTGTTAATTACTTACCCTACTCATTATATGTTTATAACCTATTTTTATTCGACTATCAATATCGATTCACGCTTGGTTAAATCGAGTTGGCTAACATGCCTTCTCTAATTCGTTTCGCTTGCTTCACTTTGTCTTCTCTGATTGTCTGTTCATATCAACAGTTGTATGGAATATACGTATTCAAACTTTATTCTCGTATTTGGCTTATTTTGTTCCGTTATTCATTAACGCGATTTAAGTCGATAATTTTACACGAGGGTTGGGAGCATTTATATTTGGATAACAATCATTCTTACGACCCAATTAGAGTCAGATACCGTGCCACCTAAAAGTGATGAGCCCGACGACAAAACTAATGCAACAAATTACATCGATGACGAACTTTCCACACTCCATACTTTCGACGAACGAATTCAACGTAGCTTACTCAGTCGATAAACAATGCAGTTCTCAAACATGCGAGCAAATCTTGGAAAGATCACGGCACGACTAAAATGTGCATCGGAACTGGGAATGATTTGTTTTGGTATTACGGTATTCCAGTTAATTATTGTTATCAGAGATTTATAATATTCATTAAGGTTATCAATTATTGTCTGACAATGTTTAAAATATATTAGCCATTACAATCAGTTTTCACATTCTGACTTATTCCACCGACTATAGCTCAACAGTGGTTTAAAGTTCAAAACAAAAGTCAATGTGTGAGTCTTCTATTGTTTTCTTTTATCGGAATCACGAACTGACCTAAGGTAGACAACTGTTAGAAGCCTGAAAGCACGGACAGCTGTTTTGTCCCAGAAGGGACTCCTTAGTGGCGTTTTCGTTTGTTGCATGAAAAAAGTTTTCCTGAAATGGACAATATTGTTAATCTTTATTTTGAACACTTTATTTATGAGGACTGATTTTCAGCTAATAAGTTCCAGGCTGGAATATCGTTTATTATTTTGTAATATTCACTCAATAACAATGTAACTGAATGCCCAGTTCACGATTCATTCTACTTTTGGATGCTATGTCTTACCATGTGATAACTAAATTAATGTTTTTCCTGAAATTTCCATCCTCGTTTTTTTGTCACCCTCTAGTGATATTCAAACAGGAATTTCGGAAGATATGATCACACAATTAGCGCATATATTAGCAGAGGGTAAAATATTTCCAACAGTTTCTGAGTTAGTCAGTAGTCAACGTGTAGAAGAACAAATATTGCATAAACAATTGATTGATTTACGTGCTGAACAATCTGGTCAGTTTTTATCGTTTCGATTAACCATTCTATAATTTCAATGCTTTCATTTAACTGTGTTTTTCAAATGTCTATGACATAATTTTCATTCTCATTGATATATGAATTAACTAAGTCTATGTCTGTATACTGTATATAAAAAAAAGTTTTCTAGCTTGTTTACTGAAATCCTTGAAATGCCATGACTGTTGGATTATCAAAGTAGCTAAGTGTGATATGTCTACGATTATAGTTATAATGTGTAAATCCCACTTGGAATCATTGTCCTAAAATGTTGTTACTCTATTGTACGAAAAGAAATCTTCAGAATATTGAAAGGTAAAATAGAAAATTGAATTGAAATCGTTGAATCGTAATCGTGGATTCTCGAAAGATGAAAGTCTATTTCTTAACGTTATTTCTGTTTTTGCTACTAAATTAGTTGAATGTTAATCAAAGACACGTGTTGAACACAAATGTCAGTTTTTAGCCTTGCTAATTGTGAATATTATCGTTCTTGGTTTGTTTAGATATGTTTGGTTTTGAGTTCCTTTTCAAAAGTGGGGACAGCCTATGTTTAAATGATCGTAGATACTTGGTAATGTTTCTCAACATATTACAGCTTAATCAATGGGATTAAATTGTCATAAAAAGGGCTAAACAAACATGACATATTTCAACGCTCAGTGATCAATAAATTGTAAATATATCAGTACAATAGGAGATTAGTAGCTCAGTGTAAATGTCTCAGACTGGATAATCCCCGTTCGAATCCAACAGAAGCACCAGTCCCTTGAAGATTCCAAATACACCTTTTTAACTAATGTTAACTAATAAAAAAGTTAGTCCCATTGTTTTCTGTCTACTATTTCCGAACAATTAAAACCTCAATATAGTGCATATAATGTTGAGTTATTCAGATTAGTGACCACATCATTAGTTGGCTATTAGATTCTAATCAGCATTAAAGGATTAGATAAACATTACATTCATCTCTATTCATTGGTTAATCAGTTGGAAAGTTGTTTGTGTTGGGACGGCTTCGAAAATCACGAGGAGACTTCTAGAGCCTTTAAAGGAGCTGGAGAGATTCCATCCAGTCAGAACCTGGTAGAACCCCCTAGAATATCAACGTGGCGTTCTACGGTTGAACGATAACATAAATTGCCTCCTTGCGGATTGACTGAATTATAGTGATGTTATAGCCAATACTAAAAAATCTAAATACCCCTGTTTTTATGTACATTTTTGACTCTTGCCCAATAATCCCCCCCTGTTGTTTTCGTCTTCTGATTCGCGACCGGTGGGTTGTACACGTTTGATGAAGTTAGTTGTATATCGTACTCTGCTGTAATCAAGTAGAGGACGTAATACTTCACCTTTTTTACAATCTTTCACAATGTGATTTGCATTTTCCTATTTCCAATCTTGTTAATTGCTCTTCTATCTCTTCCCCCTCTTCTTGTGTATACTCTTATTCGAAAATTGCCAAATGAGATCAATAGTCATTTCATTTTGATAATTTATTTTTTATAGTTGGCTTAACTAAAAATGAACATTTTTTATCGTTGTATAATTTGTGGTTGTTTAAAAATTAATAGCTTCTTTTTGCATTCAACATTAGCTTGTCGATCTGCTTTAAGACGAAAACATAAAGAAGAAATGTCTATGAATGCATCTCGACCACATCATCTACCGGTGTTACAAAAAGAACATGAACAAGAAATGCACGTAAATTACTCCATTTTATTTATTTATTTCTACATTGTGTTTTTAGATGTTTGTTGTTGTTTCATGCTATCTATTGATTTGAAAAATCTGAACTTCATTTTCAAGAGTTTTTTTCAAATCTTAGAAATGTGTACTTTTAAAGCCGCATGTTGACTCCTGTCTAATGACGATGATCTACTCTCTCGACCGATCACTGTAATACACCTTAGAAACAAAAGTTGAGTAAGAAATGTCTTCAAGATTCATATATTTTAAACATGAACATTGACCACAGACTAACAATAAGAAAGCAATGAATATAGAAAGCTAATAGGGGGGGGGTACAGATAGAAGAGGCCGTAAAGGACCCGCTTCAACTGTCTAAGTATGAATCATCTTTGTATTTGCAAATAGACAACGTATAAGGTACATGTAAGGTAACATATATATATGAAGGATCCTTCCACAGTCTTTTAACTGACTAACTGGTTTCATTTAATATACATGAATTATTTTTATCTCCCTAGTCAGTAAGTGTTTAAATACTAATTGGAAATGTAGAAAATACTTTTTTAAAATTGTTTTATTTAGCGTTTATTGAAAAATCAAACTGATGCTTTACGTAATCTATCATTAAGAATATTGGATTCATTAGATGGACGTGTTGTTGAACAACAGCTAACTTTAGAACGTATAGGTGTCCCAGCATTTCTTCGAACAACAAATGCTCAGATAATACGTATTCAAATGAGAATCTTAGATTGGATTGTACGTTTAAGTCGTCGATCATTACCACAATCTTCAAGTTTATCGACTCCTGAAACTATATCATCTACATGGCCTCCATGAATCTCATAATGTACATTAAACGTTTTCATCGTATCTCATTTTCGTTAGAATGTATTTGAAAGCCTGGTTTTATTTTCAATTCAACATGTTTTACAAGTTTATTATTATTAGTTGTTATTTATCATTATGAACTTGATTTTATATCTGATTAAAGCCATAAAACAGTTTGCATTATATAAAATTTATAGGTTGTAAATGTTTAAACTTTAGCTCTTTAGGTTTTTGATAAGATTATTTTGTGTTTTATTTCATCAAATGAATAAACAAAATTAAACAGTGTATACCTTTGATTGAATGTTACGAGTAGATATGTAATTGGACAATGGAATTATGTAATAACTTTTGCATTCATCAAACTATTCTTCCAAGTTATAAAGAAAATGAATATTTATAATCTGTCTTCATCTAATTTTAATTTCGAGATTCAAATTGATTCTTTTGTATACTTGTATGTGCACTTCTTTACGTATGAATATCACTTTGGAATAAAATAGGTTCAAGGAAAAGATACTTTTAAATGTCATTGGTACTATTTTTTGTCTAAGTAGACCCTAGGGGTGGATTTTAATTTTTAGCTAGTATGATTTGACTTGATTCTATTCATGGTTAATGGGTTCTATATATCTTTATTGTAAATAACTAGGTGGAAAATGAATTAGATTGAACAATAAATGTCTCTTCACTTAAAAATAATTCAGCCAGAAGTGATAGATCTGGACAATATTTTTATGGCTCCCTTTACTTCTCAAGTTGACCGGATTAAAACGTTAACAGTTATAAGTCTAGTTAATTTTCTGCATGTTGTACACTAGATTTCTTCAAAACTGGTATCGGTTATTTATCTTTAACTTATTGATTATACGAAATATCTACAGTCTGACAACTGATTATACCAGTAGGTCACCGAACAGAAACGTCACTGTCTAAAAATTTCTTGTCTATCTATATCGTTTAGAAGATCTATATTTGATTATATGTATAGGTTGTGACCAAATAGTCTATTTCCGGTCTTTAACCATAAAGGTAATTTGGAAGTATAATTGACAACAGTTGTCTAAATATCAATGGTAGGAACAAGTATTGTTCATACCCATGCTGGTCACTCTGATGGACCGCGCGCTCCAATGGAGAAATGTCGAATCACTGGACTCAACGTAAACCACATCCGGAGCTGCAAATTTAGAGCTGTCGGCGCCAAGGGGCATTTTGTTAAAACTACTGAACGATACCGATGTATCAGCTCCATGACTCGACCGTTCAGGAAATGTTACACTTTTTACATCTTTATTTCAAATGAGCAATCATGTGATTGCCTTCAGACAACTAATAATCGATGTAAATAGATGGAACACCAGAGTACATAATGGTATTCTCAAATATGGTGATTAATTACTTGCAACACCAATAAGCACAATGATAATTAATGGAATTACAGCTACGCATTTCAGTGGAAAACACTTTGAACGTTTTTCAAATCTTCATTTGTATTTAATCTAGTAGAATTATTAGGGTCTGTGTACACTAGATAAGAATACCATGTTCTGTGTCTTTTCATGTGACTTTGATTTTGCAACAACTCATCTCTTAGGGAGAATAAATAACTTAGAGCCTGGAGACTATTATCAATCATAAAGATTGATTTTCTGTATATTTTCTAGATGTTTTCCTATAGCTAGTTTATTGGTCCGTAAGTGGTTTTTGTGGTCCCCGTTTTCCAGCATCTAAGTTGAAGGAATCGCCGCATTCGAGATGAATACGAGCAATAATTCAAGGCTTTTCAAGAAACTCAAAAGCAAAGTTCAGAGTTGTGGCATGATGTACAGTTAGTTAACCTCGGTTGGAGCTGTGATTATTTTTTATTTTGGGATAATACAAATGAAACGGGTTAGGTTCACTGAGTGACAACCTTAGTTTCTAGGGGTACCAATGTTATGAATCTCTCAAAGCATTTTGGATGACGATTCGTGGTAAATAGAACTTAACTAAAAAGAGCAATTAGGTAAACCGCTTCTAAAGCCAAATCCCTATAATCAAATTCTGAGGATGGAGAATGTCGCATTTTGGAGAATCCTCAGTACCTACAAGTCGATATTGCCTATTTTTACAGCTTACAATTTCCCTGATAGGGTTATGCAACTCTTCTGTACGGTTATCAAAGCCTATTAACGATATTTCAACGGTGAAATCATAACTAGCATTCTGAAGGGTGTTGGTAGCACGAAAAGTACGGTTACTTCACTGAATTTCCGAAAAAAAATTTTGAAAGTGATAATAGTAGCGATAACCCTTCCTAAGTTACTGTCTGTGCATTTTAGCTTTTTAGATACTCTCTGTACGATAGAATCAGACAATGCTAGTCTTCATTATTCTCATATAAGATGTGTCAAAGACAAACAAATAAGATTATAATTATTGCAACTGACGGTGTGTCTAAATACATGTAGAGATATAGTGTTAACTTCTATTATATTCTCTCTCCATATTTTTTTCCTGTTCCACTCCCTTTTGCATATTACTCGATTCTGTTTACTAATACTCAGTTACTCGTTTAATTTCCCATAACGTTTGAGCATATAGTGCAACTTATAACTTTCATAAGATATTCTTGAGTATTTACATGTGCCCATTATATTTAAAGTACAGTTGTAATCGTGCCTTCTTAGAGCCTGGAATATAGGTCCTTGATTGCAATGTATCTGTTAGACGTTTGTTTTGTTGTGTCAACCTTGTGAAATGCCACTGAACTCAAGCCAAACTGTCCATCAAGCAGTCCGGTGAATGTCAATGCTCGGATGCGAACAGCTTGCCATTCGGAGCCACCGCAATTTTGAATTCTGCTAAAAGGAGTATTAGCAAGCATAATTAGGACACATCGAATGTTACTCGCTTGGTCGAAACACAAGTTAATGTGAAGTTACCTCAAATAAACAGAGAGTTGCTTGACGTACTAAAGAAATTTCAGTACACCAAACGGTAGCTGAGAAATTGGAGACTTATCGTAGTTTATAAACTAGGTAGCCAAATGGACTTGTGACAGAATCAAATCAGGCTGCTAAAAGTAGCATCCAAATAAGTGAGTGACATAAAACCAGAGAATCGACATAAACCAACGGGATCAGGAGTATTTGTCCGCAAAGAATTGTCGCTAGTGGACCGTATGAAAAGACGAGAAATTGAAAAAAGTAAAACTAGGGCGAGATAATCGCGAGAAGGGCCTTAGAATTGAAGGTTTTTGGGTGGTGACGCCTTGACAGATGATGACGCTGAAGCTACTCTGGGTGCAGCACTAATCAGTTTAAATGTTCTTCGGATCTTCTTCGAGTCCTTATTACATCTCATAATAACCCATCATGAAGATGATAGCCCAATCCTCTATTATGCGCCACCCCTAGGTAAAAGTGGTCCTACAGTTCTAGACTTTGGTTTCCATGTAATTTTTGATAATGAGGATGTGTTAGCCCAAGTAAGACCAAACGGCTGGAACGCAAATATGCAAGATATTATACATATAGCTTCCTTGGTAGATTGGTCAATAGAACCAGAATCCCTCGTTGAAACGATTTGGGATGTGGTGGGAAATTTATGGGTAAAGGTCACTGCACCATACATGCCTTGAACTACACCGAGGGGTTCGACAAACTCCACCGTGGTTCAGTAGACAGTTTAGCACCCTTCTCTGTAAGAGGCGAAGAACGTGAGAGAGACAGGTTAATGGATACTGACGAAACGAAATTTTAATGTTGGGAAGGTCGAAATATTTTTACCTCGACCCTCCGCCAATCCAGCAGGTTGTGCGAAGAAGAACATGTCAAAAGACCTACTACAGGACCAATGGAAGATGGAACATTCCAGTATCATGGAAAGACAGTAGTACTGCATCGTCAGTGGAGGAAGATCATAGTAAAGCTCGGTTATTCTAAATTTACTTTGGCAATGTATATACCGCGGCGACACACTGCTCCTCAGCCTCCTCCCATACACACATACTGGACGCTATGTCCTTTGTCTGTTAAATGGATTACTACGGGAATTAGCAAATTGTGTCGCGAGTCCCTTAAGTATATATTTTAATCTATCTGTAACCCAGGGTCGATTACCTAGAGACTTGGACAGTGTTATAGTAAGTCGTATCTTTAGAACATATACGAGACATAAACCTGAGAACTATAAACTCGTAAACCTAACTTGCGTAGTTTTTAAAATCTTAACAAAGATTATTCAGGAGGCGTTATCTAAGTGTCTCGACGAAAACCGGGTTCTTTCTGAAAATCAGCATGACTTTAGAACCGGTGATTTTTATCTCACTAACTGAACTTTACCTATAAGTGTCATCTACATTAACTTCAGTAAGGTTTTTTTAAAAAGTTTCTCACAACCAACTGTTATATAAATAAAGTAATATCGCATTTGAAGGCGATTTGTCATTGCAACTAAAGCACTTTAGGTAGTTTTAAACTCGAAGTCACCACGTAAACCTAATGTATCGCAAACTGGAATAACAGTCATGTTCACGTTCATGTGGTTATTTGACTTGTCATATTATGATTATTTTTTATTAAGATACTAGTATTTGCTGTGAATTTTGCTGTGGCTGTAATTTTTATTTGCCGCCTCTGACTGTGTTACGCCGGATATAAATTGCACCCTGGAAAAATGTTTTAAGTTATAATTAGCTTAATCACATCGTTGTTTTTAAGTAGACCTTCAGTGAATAATGTTACTGGAGAAAGAGTCATTGTGCTGTAAAATACTGTAAACTGTTGCCTTCATTTTAAAAACAGTATCTTTTGTCCTCTGTTAAGTCGTACTGGCCTTTAGTTCGTGTTCTGAGTTTATGGGCTTAGTTAACTACATTTAACTACTTTGAGTAACATGTATGTGCAAATGAAACAATAAATATGACACATGCTTAATTTAGTATTCTTGGTTATCGTGTAACTAACTTCGTTAAATACAATCATACTATACTTCGATATAGTGTTTGGGGCAAATAATGAAGGCGATCAGTTTAGTAAGTAAAGTTACTCACCCATTTTCTTTAGCATGCCGAAGCGTCACAACCAGAAAACGACCAGTGTGAAATTATGTATGCATTACGGTGTATGTAACTCCAGGAAGATAGTGTTGTAAGCTTAGACTTTGTGCAGAATAGGAGGAATCACAAGGACGTTATATTGATATATCATGTTTACATTTATTTATACATCACATTTAAGACTGATGCAACCCCAATACCAGCCCGCTTTTAATGAGTATACCGATTCTAATCAATCTGCTTGCAAATATGAAGAAAAGTAGCATGAATGCTGTTGTTGCCATGTATTATAAGGTAGCGTTCATTAAGTGCACTTAACAACCAGAACCAAATTACGGTTACGAATCTGTTTGATGATTAAGCTCAGGAATTAAATTTCGGGTTTTTATCACGAACTGACATAAGCTTTAAAGGCAAAAATCTATTTATCCAAATGGGTGAGTGAATTTCGCGCCAAAATTCGAGACCTGTTATCTTATACATGATTATTTCGTCCATAAATTATAGTCTCGCCCACATCTTCGTTATTTTATTAGAAAACATACACTCCGGGACTTCTTATAACATATTACAACCACCATGACTTGTCACGGAAGTCTGTGAATGGACGCGCATCTAATCCCATAGATGCTTGATGGGATGCCCTGATATGCAAGCGGTGCCTTTACTAGACTTACGGAGCATTAAGAACATGGTGATACCGAGTAAAGTATTGCACAGGGATCTACGCGCTCCCTTAGGTTTCCGGTGAAAATACCGTTACAGTCCTAATAAATATGTCATAACCCCCACCTATCGCCATCATAGCAAATAAGCCTATATTCACTAAATATAAAGCTTATATTTATCGGGAGTAAGATTTGTTGAAATAACTCGTGCTGAGAATTCTATGTTGTACCAAAATATAATATTGAAAAATCCATTAATAATGACAGAATTTAAAAATGAGAGTACAGCGGCAATATACAGCAGATGCACATGGCGCGAATTATTTTCATCGATTACCTGAGACATGGAATATGGATATTAACTTGACAAATACATTTAAAAAGACTTTAATTTCTATTCCGAAGAAAACAGTGGGAAAGTTTTACTGCTACACCATTTCAGCACTGTGCCGATATGATCTCATATCTTAAGATACGTGCCTATTGCGCATCACTCATCTATTAATGTTAGGTAGTGTATTTTCAATAACAAACTTTCTGCAACAGATCGATAGCATCTCTGATTTGGTTCCGGCTTGTGAGGTGCCTGGGTTTCATAATCCTTTCGAAAACATCACTGGTATCCACAATTACTGGGTAGGCAGTATTAGTTTGACTCGTTATTAAGTCTGAATAATCCATAATACTGAAGAAAATAACAAACCGGAGATCATTTTCTCTGATTGTTCCCGATAACATCATAAATGACAGTTAGAAACGAACATGTAGACAATGAGTGTCCCATGCGGCAACAACACTAAGTTTAGCTGAAAAAACTAACTTTGGCTTTCGATATCTACAAAATAATACTAATAATAAAACGGATTAAGATTTTATGACATAAGACAAGCGCGCTTGCCTGAAGAAATAGACTGACTATAGTAACAGCAGAAAAACCCTAGAAAACTAGGCTGATTCAAAGAAAATTTGTGACAACACTTAGAGCATTACACTAACAACGGATATTTCAGCACTGCAAAACACCAAATTAAGCAGCAACAGAAAAAACAGTGGGAAAAAACGGAACGAAAAAAATTGACTGCCGATGCTTACAAAGGTGTTGGATATGATAATTTCCACTTCATTCTGATTTGTCGCCATGCAGACTGCTACAATTACGAAATCGAGTTGACTTTAACTGCAGCCAGGACCTGTCAGTCGAGCGTCAGCAAGGTGTAAGGCTCTGCTTAGATGATTAATCTAGGCATCCGTACGATCTTTTTTGAGTCATCCTTAGCTAAGACTTCAAAACTACTGAAAACTACTGTGAGATAGCCGACAGATGTTTCAGAACCCTATGGTCAATATGTAAGGCCTTTAGCCATGTCGATGCTAAAACACTTTTGATTTCGTATACAGTACTCGTTCGTCCTAAACTCGAGTATTGCATACAAGTGGCTAGCTCCTGCCAAAATGAGGCAGTGAGTTGTCGGAAAGGGTTCGGAGAACCGCAACTAAGCTAATTCTCGGGATAGTAAAGCTCCTGTATGATGCCCGACTGGCCAAACTGAACCTATTTCCATTGTCATATAAAAGAACGAGAGGTGACTCGACCACAGATTTTAGATTACTTAGTGGTAAATTTACACCTGATATGCCCTCACTCTTCCTGTCTTTCGGAACAGAAAACTTACGAGAACACTCTAAAGCGTTCACAATCCCAGAACAGATTACTTGTCAGCTGACTATCGACTTCCCCATCGAATCATCAACGAATGGTATGTATTAACTCAACACGTGATTGAAGCTCGATCTGTCTACGCTTTCAAAAGGAAGTTGAATCAACTGAGAGACCACTACTACCAAGACTAACGGAAGCTTCCTGATCTCCTGTCCTTTTCAAACTGGAACTGAATTGGCATGTGTTGTTATTTACATCATCAGGTAGCGCGCTCTAAATACTGTGTGCGTTACAATGTCATGAAAGGCAGTTCTAGTTCCAGAAAGTTATGGCTTCTGAAGAACTCAATAACCTAGTTGGGAGCATAGTCATTTATTAGTAACAAATTCTCTTTTTTTTACAGAGAAAACCATCTGCAAGACGTTCGAAGCCTAATATGGCGGCTCTAGTAGACCAGCAGAGGCTTTTCGAAAATCCTTGGAGTCGGAAGCCCTTATTCCAGCTAGAATCACTCGTACCAGTTGTCTCTTTGCATGTAAGAGTGTTTCATAATGTTCTTGATACTGGTTTTAGGATGTAGGATCTCACCCAAGTAGTATTGAACGGGTTGATATGACTTCAACATCCCTTGCTGAAAAACGTTTCCTCAAACATCCATCTGTTAGTTTCAAAATACACAAGTTTTGTTTTGTACTCTTACTCTATTTTGTCACCCAGTTTTGAGCAATTGTACGGGGGTTCATCTTCCCGAAATTAGTTGATGTAAAAGTGATAGCTGTATAACTTACTACTGAAATGTTATGTTTAACAGTTTTTTTTAATATAGCCATTCAATATGTGTAGCGATGAGCCTAGTTTGCTTGGTTATATGCGTCTGAATGCATCACTTGCGTAACGAAGTCTGGTCACACCGCTGATTCATAGCTACTCAATTAATTCTGGGATCCTATTTTTTTCATTAACTGTGACCAGGAAGTCTTTCCCTTTTAACATGAATTAACCACATTCACTGGCTTAATAAAATGTTGGTATGTCTTAGTCGTGTAACTCAGCTTCCTACTACCTTCGTCGTACTCTGGTAAGCGCATCTACAGAAGTTTGAGATAACAGATCATGGCTCTTATCATGTGAATTAATAGTTATGCAACATTAACTAGCGTCTACTTTGTTTGAGACTTTCCCATTTATATTAGCATCGTTTTCTTTGTGGTTTTTTTCTGTTTTAGAAATATTTCGAACACCCCTAGTCAAATATAATAAATATAGTGGTTTTTTAAACATTACATATATTAGTCTCGTCCTACAGCTTTTCGTTAACATGTGATATATCACTTCTCGAGTGAGTTTATTTTGTAATAGTGGGGATCCGGGTATATCCAAACAAAAATCTCTTAGGACAGCATTAATGTTAAAACCAGATTACTTTCAGCCTAATTAATGGGTATAAGCAGTTAATGAAGTGACTGTTTTAAATAGTGCACATTACTTAATCTTGTGAAACTTGGGGGTTGTGTTACTGTTAACCGGTCAAACAGCAAATAAATGTTCTACCGGTTTCTTACTTTGTACTTTTATTATTTCACATGCTCTCAGTCTGTTTTCGTCATATGATTTCATTATAAATTCTATTCAATTCGAATCCTTTTCCATCATTTTTCGGCATAATGTGCTTTTGCTGTGCATGGTTAGAAACTTTAGCAGACCCTGTCTTTTACCAAATATTCTTTCTTAATTGTGTTTAGTTGGCTTGCCAACCTAAGTAGTGTCAAGCTCAAGGCTAAGTGGCATATTTGTGATACCTTTTATTTATGGATATTCAATTTTTAAGCATATTTATATTGTCGATTGTTTCCCTTAGCACTCAGTTAAGTCCGTCAAGGATGGCGACAATATGACTGTAAACCGTGGCTCCCTATGTGTTTACTCATTTAATAAATTGGAAGCGAATAAGATTCATGGTCAGGTATAGTTTCCATGTATTTTTATTGCTGCATTATATAAATTACTACTATGAGGCAAAGTCCATATGGATTCGCCATATAAGTCTCTTTAAATGTTACCACGTGAACAAAATATTTAGAATTAAACTAACATATAAATGATTACTTTACATGTGACAGCCAATAAAATGTTCTGAATATTTAGGATCTAATAACCTAAATCTTAAATATTTTACGTTGAACCACTAGCTATAGCAGTTAAACTATTATCCTTTTTATCAAGTTGTTCCATTATATTAAAACTTGTAGGAGGACTTATTCCTTCATCTCCCATCATATGCCCATATTCGTTTGGAAAGTTTCAAACTAACCTGGTCATAATATGAATCATTGGACGACGAAGAAAGTTTTTATGTTGTACCACAAACTAAACTAGGAGATATATCGTAAAAATACTGTCTTTCTTCTGTTCAGTCACTATTCTTAAATCTGCTAGTTCTTTAGTATGCGAGGGTGTTTCACGAAAGGTAGTTTACAAACTCATTAACAATGCAATCGACACTTCAAAATGGAATTTCGTCATTGTTATGAAGGAAACATTCAGGAGAACTAGCACATTATAAGCACACTTTGGGATTGCTAAGATTAGTAAGTAGAGTGCTGATTCCCAGAGGAGGAAAAGCCATACGATTTGGCGGACTTATAGTTACTTATAAGATCAAGTTTTATGTATAAGCCTCAAGTCAACTGATATCAAAGCAATGTACAATTGCTCTGTAAAATAGATTTGTTTCTTTTATAAAATATAATGTCTATATACAAAATATATAAAGAAGTGAATATTATATGATTCCATATTTGCTATCGGAGGATAGTAATTTTTCAGGTCATTCACCAACTAATTAAATTAAGACCTGACTATCGATCTGAATTCTTACCAGTCATATCAGAGGGATATCATAGAAACGGAAAAGAATCAGTACACCTTAACCGTTTAAAATAAGTTTTAAACCAGGTGGCTTAAAATTTCACTGATTTTTAAGTTGCTTAAAGGTAAACTTAAAAAGACGATATTTGTTTTCAGTCTTTGTACTCACTCATACTGATTGAATTTGAAGTGATGTAGGTTATAATTTCTGCTAAAAGCTATGAACAATATTCACAGTGGTCATGTACAAATCTGACAACCTTGGTTCCAGCTGAGCTTTGATATTGAATTGTAAACTTTTTATCTCAAGATTAGTCTTGTACAGCAATGATTTCAATGCTTGAGGAGAAAAATACTTTGGAAGATATTCTTCTTGATTTTGATTCAAAACACTGGAAGTAGTGATTGTGTAATACAGTTTTGTTGTAACAGTTGACCTTTCGTACTTTTTATTATCTACCACAAAAGGACGACTGATGAGAATCTTACGTAGCTTGCATCTTTACGATTTACATTTATATAAGGTTTCTAAGTGGTCACTGTTTCTCCGAACAACGATCATGATTTAGTTCAGGCACCCATCTTTTTGTGCGTCCAGGTAAATGTTGGTAGCATCTCAGATAAGGAGATCAAGTGAACGATACTGGGTTCGAGTTTCGAAGTGAACTTCAACTCTGGGATGCAGATGACGAATCCCAAATAGAACACAACGTACGTCTTGGATTCCACTGCTAGCCACCATCCATCCTTGCTTACAAAGCTTGTGACTTAAGGCAATATTGAGGCAGTCTGCACAGGATTCTCATAGGCCAACAAGAGACTGATCAGTTGCAGTCCTAAACAACAATCGGAAGATACAAGCAAACAGTACCGAGTGAATTCATTGCAACATTGTTTAAGCGTTACATTTATCTTAATTTAAAATAAAATTGAGAGGTGGTCTGTTACTTAAGATTAGTAAATGTTAAACAACATCGGTGCATAATGGATTTTTCTTCATTGCTTGTGAACACTAGAAAATAAGGAGCCAATACATAAATGACTTGACACCTCGGTAATAATTGAAGTTGTAATGTGAGTATTGAAAGTAACAGATTCATTTATAATGTGACAGTTTACAGTATTAACATTGATTTCTGATGTTCAGTAACCCGTTCGAGGAAAGTAAACTTCGGAAGCAATGGATTAGCGATTTTGAGAAATCTTAGGTTAAACTTTCAGGTAACTTTCATTTTTTGACTCTTTGGTTAGAAAACTGACCTAAAAGTTTTAACCGCCAATTAATTGCCTATGAGTTTGGGAAATGTAGTGTTAGTAGATAATTGGTGCTTTAGACAGTTCTATGTAGCTTTCGGAATGATGATCCTTAATTAATCGGGAAGTTGATATTAGTCTGATTATAAATTGTGAGGGTTAATTTTGTTAACTGGTTTAATTCTTTTTTTAAAAAAGTAAATGAAATCTCTCTTTTTGGTAGTCATAAAAATAAGCTTGATAAACACTGCATCTGAAAAGATAGAATATTTCATAAGTCCCATCTGTAGCTGAGTTGTATCGACAGAAAACCAGGGGGAGAGTTTCTATTCTCATATCTGGCTTAGAATTTTTCTATTCACAGTTGATCTGATTCTGAAACAAGTTCAAATGTACAGACTTCACACCAGTCAATATAAAACTTGTATTTAAGACAATTAAGACTTCTGATCTTCATTTTTCTGCTCACAATAATATTGAGTAGGCAGTTCATTTCGTTTGTTCCTTTCTCCATACTTATATTAGCTTTTATGGATAATATTTTGTGAACTGATAAGAATCAGGAGCACAATCTACACTTTCCCATTCTCACCTTTTATTAAAAGCTTAAATTAAGATATGAACATGTACGAACGATCTTTCGTCGATAAATATTTCATGAATCTCAATGATAAAAGCATAGTCTATCCAAGTAGAAGACATGTGTGGATTGCAGGTTTTTGATCATAGATATCTTGGAAGCTGGGGTATCACTCAACACCAAGTAAAAAGTCATGAGGTTAAGGCTAGGATATCATCGGTTGATAAAACTGAATTGTCAGCCAATTAGATGTCTGGAACGTATGATACGTGAACCCAACAGTGACGTTGACGTGCGATATTAGAAAAAAGCTGGAGGTGGCCAAAAAAGATATGAGAGCCTTTGAAATCATTGATCGTTGTTCTGACCAACGTTGGGTACGCCAGATAATCACGACCATTAGTTAGAAACTGGGTAACGCTGTTCAAAGTTTCTCTTAATGACACTGACGCATTAACTCTACCTTTCTATCGATAACCAATGCCGGTATTTTCTCACATCTTTACACTTTCTCCCCCCAATTCATATTCTCAATATTTAGTTCCTAGTTTTGAGTGATAGCACACCAATTTACATCCAATGTTATTCGTCTTACTAATTTCATCCCGTTGAGCTAATGCAGTATGACAACTTGGCAAACACTCATTTACCCCAGGTTCTATGCCGATTATGGCTAACTGACTAATAGAATGATTCTTCATGTCTGACCTACATGAAAGTCCTCGTTTACAGTAAAGAGTGAATATTCTTAATTATGGAGTTGTGTCGAAAGTTTTACGCTGCTACTAGATAAAACCTGAATACAAAAACAGTTTTGTAATATGTACTGGGGAGATATTCTAATGTCTATTTGGTACCGAGTATACAACCTAGCAGTACGTTCTTTTTTGTAATACAGCTTTAAGATATGTATGTTAGTGAAATGAGATTTTTTGGTGCCTGAATATTGCTAGTTTTG